AGGAAACTATGTAGAAGTCAGCCAATCCAGAGCAACCAACAGAACAGAAGAAAAAGGGGGGTCTAGATATAGGAAAAGACCCAGAAGAGGAGGAGTCTGAATGGAGGAGGACATATAGGGGCGAGCCCCTGAGCCAATGCACGTGACCAGACAAAAGTCACTCTGAAAGATGGAGTGTGGAGATGTCTGGATGAAAAACATCAGATCGGGGATGACTGAGGAGTGGACAGGACAGAAAAAAAGATAAGGTGTGTTGTTTCAGTAAGGGCCAGAGCAGAGAGAACCACATCTAATTGGACAATACAGAGAATAAGCAGAGTACAACAAGATTTAGTCTGGATGACAGAAAAGACTCAGAAGATGAGTCAAATCGAAGGGTAGGCATATAGGTGAAGACCCCTCGAATCTTGACTGAAAGCATCTATCTCCATAGCTGAATGGTGAGAAACTGAAGACTAAAAAGAAAGAAAGTGTGGTATACCAGTGAATGGGAAACATACAAATATATGCAGTGTTCCTTGTAGAGAACATGCCCACAGAAAACGTAAGGATGAAAAGACCACTCTGTGGAGAACCTGGTAAGGATGCGATAAGAGATTGGCCACAAGAATCAGAACTCGGAGAACATGACCCGCCAAAGTAGTCATGTCAAGGTCATTGCCCCAATACACTAAATCCAGGGTCTGACCAGACAGAGATCAGTAAATGGTTTCCCCTTTCTAGATGATAAAGCTGACAATAGTGGAATTGCAGAAAGAACCTGCAGGAAATGGAGGAAAGGATACAGATTCCAATGAACTGCTAAGGTACCAGGATGAGGATATGGAGAGTAGCCTCATCGACTGACCACCGACCCAAAACCTCAGGAGAATCGAGGAAAATGGGATGGTCCAAGGGATCATGAGGGAAGTTCCATTGGTTGAGATGTAACCAATGAAGGGAATGCATGTGTGTACAACCCAAGGGAATGAGCACTTCCAAGGAAGACCACATCCCAAAAGAGAGTGAACCTCATGGACATAGAGAGAAGGAGAAGAGATGACAAATGTGACTGTCCTCTTGATATCCTGGAGTCAAAATGGAGAAAGCTGGGCTCGACCAAAAAAGGAAGTGAAGTGAACCCTCAAATAAATAAGATACTGTGAAAATATAGGAAAGGACTTCTCCAATAAGAAAAGAAACCCACCAGAGAAGCTTCTTGAAGAAGAAAGTGGGTGTGAGTGACTGACCGGGCACAGGAAGAGGTGAGAAGAAGCCAGTCATCCAGGAAATGTGTCTGAAGAACCAATGAGTGAAGATGACATGCAAAAGTATACCACTCTACAAAACACATTCAGAGCTGAAGAGAGACAGTCTGTGAGCACCCAGGAAAGGAAAAAATAGCCGGGCAAACATAAAGCACGAACTCCCCACGAACGAAAGTCTGTGCTTTCTCAGCAGACATTGTGAAACCTGAGACCTAGTGTTATAACTGCTGTCTACTTATGGCATGAAAACCACCTGTGCTAGTATAGATGGCACAATGGGATTAGTGGAGGGTGGTCACATGATCAGCACTTGTTGCTGCAATGATGCAAA